GCTTGTTGTTGTTGGTTGTCGAGTCGAGTTCATTATTTTGCTTGTTGTGTTTGTTTCAATGCGCTTCATCACTTCGCAAGTGAACAAACCTTGATGTCAGTCAAACTCTATCATAAATCATGTATTAAGTAAAAAGAAAAAAGAAAAATTGCATCGAGGAAAACATCACCCGTCTGACAATCACTTCTAGAAACGTTGATGAGTTTCTTAGCCGATGCTAAAAGTCATCGTAGCCAGCAACCCATCGTGATTCCGGCCCCTAAACCTTTGGTGCACGCCTTATCTCTCATGAAAATCGCCATATTCACAAAAAAAATTATAGACTTCACCAGAAATTCGTGGAAACATCAGAGAAACAGAGTCGTACCAGGATCATGATCGACGATGTTGCTTGTTGATGTAGGATTTTATCAAGTTGAATTTTTTGTTTAATGTGAAATTTGAAAAATATTAGTTGGCGTCAACTAGCAATTCAGGAGGAGGAAGATAGATGCTTGTTGTTGTTGGTTGTCGAGTCGAGTTCGTTATTTTGCTTGTTGTGTTTGTTTCAATGCGCTTCATCACTTCGCAAGTGAACAAACCTTGATGTCAGTCAAACTCTATCATAAATCATGTATTAAGTAAAAAAAAGAAAAAAGAAAAATTGCATCGAGGAAAACATCACCCGTCTGACAATCACTTCTAGAAACGTTGATGAGTTTCTTAGCCAATGCTAAAAGTCATCGTAGCCAGCAACCCATCGTGATTCCGGCCCCTAAACCTTTGGTGCACGCCTTATCTCTCATGAAAATCGCCATATTCACAAAAAAAATTATAGACTTCACCAGAAATTCGTGGAAACATCAGAGAAACAGAGTCGTACCAGGATCATGATCGACGATGTTGCTTGTTGATGTAGGATTTTATCAAGTTGAATTTTTTGTTTAATGTGAAATTTGAAAAATATTAGTTGGCGTCAACTAGCAATTCAGTTGGGGCCGTCCACCATTATTACTAAAATATCAAAGTAAATTTCATTTTGGAGAACACAATTAATTTAATTTTTATGTGCTAAAAATAAATTTTTTATTTTGTCTTGAAATGAAAAAGATTTAGACCGTTGAATTTAATTGATGGAAAGTTTATGTAGGACAAGTAACGAAGAACAAGTTTAAAAGTTGTGTTATGGAGGAAAAAAAATATTTCTTGAACACTTCAGAGTTCAGACACTAATTCTATAATCATAACCATTAAATTTGAGAGGATGAGAATGAAAAGTTTAGTAAACGCAACATGACAATCTGGAGACTAATACAGTACATGGGATCTATTGGTTGAATTTTCAAATTTACCCTTTTTCTTGTTTGCTGCAACAGAGGAATAGAAGGCTTCAGTGGGCTAATTTGGATTTTGTAGAAGCATCTTCTAATATTGTAGAGAAAAAAATAGTTAAATGTTTGGTTGAAAAACTATAAGACTTGATTTTTAATATGAGAGATTGTGTAAAATGACTTATAATATAAACTATATCTAAAATTTGTACACAATAAAAAGTAGTCAATATTGAATTTTGTTAGATATATTTTATATTAAATAATATGAATTTATAATTTATTTTTAAAATAATATAAATGAAATAAAATTCTATTTTCTGAAATAAAATTAAAATACGGTAAGAATAATCTTGTATTTTCAAAACAGCTTTTCGTAGAAGCTCCAAATCGGAGCTTCTGGTTTTATGTTATACAAAAGCGTTTTTGGGTTTTCAAAAGCCGAGGTTTTAGAAGTGTTTGACCATTTTCAGCTTTTGAAACCAAAAAGTACTTCTAAAATCCGAGCCAAACATAGACAGTGCCTTGGTTTTTCAATCTTAAAGTTGTGACAGAACAGTAACATAGCTAAAATTTAATTAAACAAATATAATACTTTTTATATAATTGAGTTGCACTATTCCTTACGAGTTTTTCTCCTTTGTTCACTGTTCATTAAGATATTATAGTATGACTGTTTTTATTATTATCACCTCATTTAACTATTTTAATTAAGCCGCAAGTAGAGTGGCACTATTCCTTATGATTTTTTCTCTTTTGTTCACTGTTCATTAAGATATTATAGCATGACCGGTTTTATTATTATCACCTCATTTAACTATTTTTCCTCACTAGGTAGCGCATGAAGGCGGGAGCAGATCCTATCAATAACTATGCATAACCCAATCATGATTCGTCACATCAGCGTCCTTTCGCTCTCCTAAAAAGCATTTAATTTCCTCCTGTTAATATTTAATGGATGATTTCTCACTCGTTTTAAGTCAAAATTTAATTTTTTGCACAGTTAGATCAAATTAATTGTGCTCTTCAAAATTATATCCACTTTGATATATTTTTGGAACAAAAAGAATTTAGCCATTTTTTACCAGTCTATACCATATGGTATTTACTGGTATTGAAATAAGAGCATACCTATGGTATTAAAAGCGTACCATGGTGGTATGAACAAACAAAGACTGTAGGATGGTTGAATACATGATAGTAGAAGTATATTAACTGTCATTTACGACTTTTAACATTGTGTACCACAAGATACCACCCCGTACCAGGGTGGTATTGTCTGATTTTTTTGGTCCTATATTTTGTTCACACAGAAATTTATAGATCCAATAGGTCATGATGAACTAGTTCATTCTATGCAAAAATTTTCAAAAACGAATTAAAAATGAAGAAGATACCATATGATATGCAGTTGGTACCGAGAGGCAAGAAATTTTCTTCTTCGAAAAAAATATTGAAAATGGATCTCATTTTGTAGAATACAACGAACTCGTTCCATCTGTGCAAAAAAAAAAAATGAAATCCGAGTTAAAACGAAGAAGATATTAGCCGATTAAGAAAACAATGGAAAAATAAAAATATCTTTAATTCTCCACCCTTATATCTGCATTTTCTGAATAAATTATCCTGATTTTGTTACTGATCATGGTTATGCACCCTATCTAGAGCCCATGAAGAATGGCCAAGCTTCCACTTATTCCCCATTTTGTTTAGTTTGATTTTGCTTCTTTTATATGATTGAAATTGATGAATCATGACTTCTTTTGTTTAGTGTTACAAAGAACTCTTTCATTCGCTATAATAAGTTATGTATAAAATGACATTCAGTTACATAACAAACATTAATGACTTTTTACAACCATGAAATAAGATACGACAGGTTATGCAATAATAGTTAATTATTACGTACCAGTTAAATCATACATGTTACGTAAGACTTTTATAATAACAATGTTAAACATTACATAATGGTACGTTGTTATTACACAATGGTTGAATAAATTACGTACATAACACTTTCCCCAGCGGTAATATTTACATGGTTGAATATAAGAAATAAATATCCCTTCATAAACATTACAAAATGTCCTAACCATTTCGGAAGACTTACATAATACATTTTTTCAATTGATTCATAAGAAATAACTGCCCATTCATAAGTTTTACATATGCATATGTATTTGTAATTTACGTAACTATTATAACCAATATTACATAAATCTTCAATAATATATGGTCTAATAATAATATCAAATTATAGATTTGTGTAACACTGTTCAATAACAGTTACTTCAATTACAAATTAATTACGTAAATATAATAGAGAGATAGTTATTTCTAATGTGCCAAATAAATAAATGTATTATCTAATTGTTATGTAATGATTAAGGCGTAAATAGATGGGTAGTCAATCAAACAAATATGATAGTTTTTATAAATGAATTCCTTTATTATTAACTAATATATTAATCATCTCATCAAAATATGCATGAAGACAAAGGTTATGTATTGTAAGGTTGGTTAACTTCTAGATAACAATTTAATCAAATATCAAAATATTTTGAAACTTGATTTTTATTATTAGAGACCACGGAAGATTAATGCAACGCCTCTTTTATAACAGTTATGTAAATCATAAGTACATTAAATAAGTGAACGAAATTCCAAATATAGTTATGAACAAGGGTTTGGTCTGGAGGCAAAAAAAAAAGAAAAAAAACTAGTTGCTATAAAGTGGGGAGTTCCGAATACTGAGAATGAGCAAATGACAGATGAGCTTAATGCAAGTTTTGGGGTCTAGTTACCTACATTGCTGTAAATTCCTCATGGCTCTGGACCTGCTAACTTGATCTTCGTGGAATTGACTTAGAAGTTTTCTTGGTTCTTTCTTCGAGCATTCTTTGAGTTGCAAAGTAATGCTCCTGCACATTCTACCTATTCTGTGGAGTCGCAGCTCTGTCACAATAAAAGTGAAAATGGTATCATGAATCATGATCCAGCTAGGCAATGACGCAGAAGTTTTCTCTGTGTAGTAACATATCACCATTGTCAGCACCAATCCACAACTGCTGCTTCCATGGTGGAGGAGCAATACAGAGTCGGGCTAGGGAAGGGAATCTGTAAAGCTTCTAGTATGGTATCACCTACAATATTGTCCGTCTTTCGCTGCAAGATTGATGATCATGTCCATCTGGAATTCCCTCTAGTTGTATCAGTTGAAGAGATGAACTTTTGTAGGGAACTGTGAGAGGACGTGGATTCCTCCATCGTTGTAATAGCTGTTAGTTCAAATCAACCTGTACACAAATGAAGCTGCTTGCTCTTGCGTGGGTAAAATAAAAGTTAAAGCTCTGAATGATATACAAATTACAACACATCTGAATTAGAGGAAGTGTTTTACAGCAAATAGACACCAGAGTATGCAGAGATGATTCATGTTTCTTTTTTTTTTTTTTTATCTCGACTTACCATTCACTCACTCTGTCATCATTCCCAAATTTTCTACATTCATTATTGTTAAGCTTATGTGAAAGGTAAAAATCAGATAAAATTACATGTCTCAATCTAGGTAGACATAAACCTTGCACATTACAATATCACAAGTGACCACAGAGCTAAACAAGCAGCATAATGCAAGTTTCGTTGATGACGAAGCTCCCAGTCTCTTTCCCTTATGGTGTAGCTCTTGAGTCACCAGACCAAGCCTCGTTTTCTTCTAATAAATCTATCGACCCGGTCAGTGCTCATTCGAGACTTCTCGTGCTTATTTGACTTCTTGGACTTCTCCAGCCGACTGTCTAAACTGTTTCTTGACATTTGAGGTGGTGGTGGAAGCTCTGCTACCAATTCAAAAGTATCTTCTCTGGCTCCAGGGGGCTCCGGTGCTGTTTTATTCTTATACTCTGCCTCTGATGATACAGGCGTCTTATCTTTATTCTTATTCTCTGGCTCTGATGATACTGTAGTCTTATCGGGACCTGCATTTGCTGCAACAGTGGCTGCTGCTTTTGCAGATTTCCCCAGTGACACTACAAACTTCTTGAGATGCTTTATGAATTCCGGATATATCTCGAGGTTGCAGTGGCCCCCTCCACTTATCCATAGAGGTTCATATTTGTTCTTGCAGAGATCCCACAACTGTCTTCCGTGAGAGCAATCCACAACTTCATCTGCTGTTCCCTGAGAGTTTAAATAAGAAAATATGAATCAGCAACACTTCTATATTTTGATTGTATTTTTTATGGGATGCTAGATAGTTTGTTTAATAAGAAGGAAATATTTTTACTTCAGAGGGACAAAGCTGGAAATGAAATTTTACTGGTGAGGTGGCTTTTAGATGCTAATAATCTATGAGATTTAGAGTGAATAATCGTTCCAAAAGGTTATAATCAAGCAGTATGTTCATTTAACCGTTCAAACCAATTTGTTTCAAGTTGCTTATTGTTCAGCCTAAACGAACACACCCTTGTTTGATCAACCTACTACAAGTTTTAGTCGACATTTCTGACATGACAATCAAGCACTCAGGTTGGCTACTATGACCTAAATCTGTGTTTGAACAATAAAAGTCTACTAAAAGGCGGGGGAAAAAAACTCCTTAACCCACTCGCTCTGAAACCGAGTGAAAGATAATGTTAAAGCCTGTAGGGTGTAAATTGATAAGATCAATAGGGAATTAAAAAGCAAGATTGACGTTCAAAACTCAACCCACAGATTTAATGTACTTTAGATAAGTGCACACGAGCAATATATTTCTTTTTATAGTTCTATCATTCTATTTATCATGAGATAGGCTGTCATTATATCTTTCAAGATGAGTAACTTTGCCCGACCTTAGACTTCCAAGATTTGTCTCCATGAGTCAGCTATCCTGAATCGGCCAACCGATAAACTAGTAAATACATGCATATCAATGCCGAAGGATGGTAAGAAGCAGAATGGCTATGGCTAACGTACTGCAACCCCCTATGAAGTGACATTTATGTTCCATCAAGTGGAACGAGCGGATGGAGGAAATCATACTTACATGGATTATCAGGACAGGGCACTTCACCAAACCGATTTTGTCAATGTTCTGAAAAACATGGAAATTTCATATAAGCCTACACACACGAAGTTAGCAAGCCATGAAAAAATATATTGAATGATTTTACCTTGTAGATGTCAAACCAGTAAGTTCTTTTGACTGGGTATAGCACCCTCATGCCAGAAAGAAGTGGACTGTGAAGAACCACACCTCTTAAATTGGGCAAACGGGAAGCAAGATCGACTGTGGGTCCACTACCAACAGACTGACCGTACAATATCAGGTCTTCTTCTCTGACCCCATACTGCTCTCTTAAGCAATTATAGGCCGCATCTATGTCCGCATACGTATTGTATTCGGTTGGCTGTCACAAGTAAAGCATATATTTCATTCTCATGAACTTCTTGCTATAGATTGATTAAAAAAGCAATTACTCTCACTTTGCATTTCTAGCTGTGCAGGACAGGTAGATACAGAAAGCGGAGGGATAACACAATGCAAAACGAGGGAATGAATGTAGATATGGACAATGTAAATAGACAAACAAAAGGTGGTAACCCACCTTTCCACTTGACCGCCCATAGCCAGAGTAATCATAGCTGGAAAGAGAAGAAAATCAAACACATTACGAGACAGATTAGTCCAGAAACAAGATAAGTAAGAACAAATCACAAAACCAATATGGCTAAACGCATCAACGTCCAACTCAGTCAGTTAAGCTTCTGTACGAAGCTATATGAAGGCATGAGACTTCAAACATGGTACTTAGGTGTTAGATAACTGTTCCATGATATTCAATCTAATTATATGAATTGCTTTCAGTTGAAAAAATTTAAATACTCATGCAGCTACACTATCTAACCACTTGTTAAACAGCCAAATCTTATTATCTTACTGCTAACTGTCGTTTTTCTGCAAACGTTTACAGATGAAAGATTGATAAAGTACAACTACATGGAAATAGAGTAAATTGTGTCGTGGCCAAGCATGGCAAATATTCTAGAATTGTAAGGTCCCCAATCTTCTACCTGCTAACAGAACATATCACAAAACTTGTTGCCTTAAATATGTCGATGGCAGTAAAAGGTGTTGATCCTAACAACAACAAAACAAAGGTCGTCAGCGATTTATTTCAAATAATTCCTGGCAAGAAGAGATAGAGACCTATTATTTTCCTTCAGCCTCTTATTGATGGAAGTCCATTATATAAAAAAAGAAAAATCTTTTCCATGGCAGCCACAAGATCTTCTTGATGAAGGTGCAATGAAAAGGCCAAGTCGCTTTCACTACAAAAGCTTAAGGTTTCCAGACCCCAAGGTACAAATTATAACTAATAATTTGTACTTCAAAATTATCAGCTCTTTAAAGGAAGACTCTTAAAAGACGCCACAGTAGTTTCACATTGAGCCTCATATTCAGGTTCATCCATGCCTCTCTAACTAATTTTCCCCTCTAGTTGCTCAACCTCTTTTCGCAAACTTTATTCTAAACCCATCTGCAGTTTATCATAAATGTTGAACTTCTACCCACTATAATGGTTTCTCGGTACAAAAAGGTGAAGTCCAAAAGACTAGTTCAAGTTCCAAAATCGCTGGAGGTTGAAGAGATTAATAATTTTAGTATGATAAAATGCTACATCTAATCCTATCTACTGACGCAGACAGCTTCTATAACGTATTATGGTAGCCATAACTGTGTTCAATACATGACAATTTGAACTTCTAGACTCTCAGAGGTGGAATCCAATTAAGCACATCTGTCAGACCAATAAGCTGCTTCCTGCGAAACAGTTTCGTAAGAGAATCATACATTATCCAAGATTCAAACTTGTTTTTCTTCATAAGAAGATAGTGGAGCAGGTTCACCAGAATTACATCACACAAAACTGGCACATTCTACAGAAATGTAGTATAATGGTATTGGTAGACAGGTACCATTACAGCAGAATGGACGTTGTAAATTCTATAACCATTTACCATCCAAGTAGTCCTGATATGTTTCAACTTTCAACTAATGATAGGACCTTCCAGCGCGCCTAATTTACTTCGTATAAACAACAAACACTATCCTATATACACATTAATAGTATTGGTTTTACATGTATGCAAATTAACTGGCAGTTTGTGTGGGAACTGTTACACATCTACAGAGAAAGAACTAATCTTTTGACACCCACATGTTGACCATAGTCCATTGGTGTTCTGGACCTTCTACTAATTCTACTTTGAAAGCAATACGAAGTTCCAACACATACAACGTTATCCGTTATATGTTATGCAATGGAATCAACGGCAATCGAATTTTGAAAGCTGAGCTTTTAATGGCAGAATTGCACAGGACTTCTATGGCATAAAATCAAGGCATAAGAAGAGAAGGCGGTAAGGAGAAGAGAAATGAATTTACCCCATGAGGTTAACCCGAAGTCGATTGCTTAGCTCGACGAAGAGCTCGTACATCTGACCCAAATCAGCGGCATTCCCATGGGAATACAGCAGAGTAACCGAAGCCCTGGGGTGCTTGATATGGACGGCCACGATTTCGTTTCCTCGCCTAGTGGGCAGCTTCAGTACATCCACGTCATCCCTCCTCGGCAGCTCTGGCATATACAGCTTGCCGCCGCCGGTAGAATCTCCAGCTACCACTGTGTACGACGGCGGAGTCGGAGGAAAGAAAGCGAATTTCGCGGCAATTGACGAGGTGACTCCGCCCATCTTATGCTTCTTCCTGCTGCTGCTACTGATGCTTTATCAGTTGTAACAATCATCAGAAGCTGAGGATTCATAAAGGAACCAACAACCCGCTCCCCCTTGCACTCTCTCCTCCACCTCTTTTAATCGTTTTCAGATCTCTGTCAAGAGTTTAACAGAATGGAAGCGATGGAGCAGAAGAAGAGCGTGCTGAAGGAGCCGGCGGCGGTCGCGATTGGGAAGGAAAAAGAGTTGGGGGAGAAAGGCATGGAGAGGAAAAGAGAGAGAGAGGGGGAAAAGAAGGGGACCAGAGGAAACAGAGGATGGGAAAGCAGAAAGATAGAAAAGCAAAAGGTGGGAGAGTGTGGGCGGGTCGGGAACGGCGGCGCGTGAGGAGACGAAGCCGCGTACAAAATTGGTAACTAAATGGGGGAAAAGATGGAATGAAACACCATAGAATCTTTGATTTGAACGTTGAGAGACTTCTACTTTGTAATAATTTGGATTCGGTTCTTCAAATTTGAAAGTGAAGGTAACTAATTAATTGGATCAAGCCTCATTGTTTAAGGAGGTTCTGGCAACTAAATGTGACAGTCGACCGATCTCAACTTGGTTGTTTGAGGGTTTCGAACTGAAATGCTCTCAACTGACCTAGGCGGAACATCGGCTCCGGCGCCGACTCTCCTCCCTTCTGACCGTCCACCGGATTTACCTAGCTCTTTTGCGATAGCTGATCCTAAACTGATGTCTCTGTCGGTGGCTACGGCCACCAGTTTAAACGATATGATTATTGAACCCTCTGTTTTATCTGTGCAGGAAAGGCCGATCCAAATTTCGATGGCGGGAGCTCAGGCGGGAATGGAGGCCGGCCAACCTTTCTCGTATGCTAATGCGGTTAAGGGGGCTCCGGCGAAGGAGACATCTCCGAACCCAATGCAACGGTGGACTCCAGTAGGCGAACATGACCTAATTACCAGCGATCGGAATGGGGAACCGGCACTCACAATTTCGGCTGAATTCAAAGCTAGATTGTGCGCGCCTTGGGAAAGAGCTCTGGTGGCTCGTTTGCTCGGACTACGGATCGGCTTCGTCACGATCTGTAATCGGCTCAAAAGTCTATGGCGGCCGACGGGTCCGATGGAGGTCAAGGATTTAGATCATGACTGCTTCCTGGTTAAGCTGAACAATGAACAAGACTATTTCAGGGCGCTTACTGACGGACCGTGGGTTATATTCGATCACTATTTGGTGGTACAACAGTGGTCGCCGAAATTTAAGGCCTCCGATCCTCTGCCGAAGACAATGATTGTCTGGGTTCAGCTCCCAGCCTTGAAAATTCATTTTTATCACAGGGAGGTGCTCACGACGTTGGGAAATCTTATTGGGCGGACCATTAAACTGGATTACCATACTCTGAACCAAGAACGAGCGAAGTTTGCTCGGCTGGCAGTTGAAGTGGACCTCTCGAAGGCTCTGGTGCCCAGGATCTGGCTCGACGATGAGTGGCAAACGGTTGAATATGAAAATCTCCCTGAGATCTGTTTCAGGTGTGGAAAGATTGGCCATGAAGCGGGAACATGTCCGTCTAATAACCCGGTTGTAGCGTCGGTGCAATTGCTGACTGCCGGTGGGTCTTCTCCGGCGAGCCCTCCTACGCCGGACGATTCCAATCCGGGATACGGTCCGTGGATGCTGGTGACCAGGAAAACCCGGCGAAATCCAAGGGAAGACCAGAAAAAAGGAAGGGGCGATCAGGAGGCGGGAAATCAGGTCCTGAAACAAACTTCTAAAAATGGAACTCGGGGGACCTCGGCGAAGGAAAGGGGGCAGACGCTGCCGATTAAGGAGTCTTCAAACGGTAACTTACCAAACCAGAGTCATATACAGGATAGGAAGGGGAACACAGAGAAGAAAAGGAAAGAGGAGGCTAAGAAAGGTAAGGATAAAGAACTCGGAAATGGGTCAGAGAAGGGTAAAGGGCTTCTTGGGCCAGGGCCCAGCTGTGGGGAGGCAAGAGTGGACGAGACGGGGCCCAGTTCTCTGGGCGGAGGCTTATCTTCTGCTGGGCCTTCTCTGGCCACCTCTTCGCAGCAGGGAGAGCCGAAGTCTCCAGGCTTGTTGGTTGGGCCGGCCGAGTGCGCCAGGCCCGCTAAATCCCCTCCTCCAACGCCCAGCTTTCGTACAGTGACAGGCCCGAATGGGACTGTTATGCAAATTTTAAACAGCAAGCCCAATGGCAAAGAGAATGAAGATCCAAAGTCGACCCCCTCTCCCTCGTTGACGAGCAGAACTAAACGGAACAAAAACAAGAAAGTGCAGCAGAGGAATTCGCCGACCAAGTTGAATTCGATGAAGCCCCTGCAAAATTGGTCCCCGGTGAAAGATAGGAAACCAAAGTCAAAGGGCCGGTTGGCGTCGCTGACCTTGCAAGAAATCCATGTCTGGACGGAAGCGGCGAAACGACCAGCTAGTGGAGAAGGAGAGACGGGGTCGGCGGAGATGTCTGCCAAAAACGTGGGCGAAGATACAGCGGTCGCGGGGGCCGCAGTCTGCTCGCCCGCTCTGCCCTCGTCGTGATGCGAGCCGAGCCTCCTCCCCTGTTCTGATCCGCTTTAATCTCATCGTTATGTCTATGTCGTCCAATTTGAAAGTCTTCTCCTGGAACGTCGGCGGTGCGGGGGGAAGAGGGTTCTTGAGAGCGCTGAAGCTGGCGATCCAGAATCACCGGCCCGATTTTGTGGTGCTACTGGAACCCCAGATTAGTGGTATGCAAGCTGACTCCGTCTGTGATAAGCTGGGATTTCCCAACTCGATCCGGGTTGAGGCAGAGGGACGCAAGGGGGGTGTGTGGGTGTTTTGGGATGCGGGAGCCTTCTCTGTGCAACCCTTTTCTGCCTGTTTCCAACATATTTCTTTGCAGGTCTCTAGGAATAATGAGCCCCCGTGGATGTTGACAGCAATCTATGCTTCTCCTCGGCAAAGCGAACAGAAACAACTTTGTGATCGAATTATTGAGCTCAGTAATTGCATTGATATCCCTTGGTTGTTGACAGGGGACTTTAACGCTATCAGCAAGCTGGAGGAGAAGTCGGGCTTACCGGCAAGGAACACTCTCAGAAGGTGCCAGCTTTTTACTAAGAGAATGAATTCGGCGGAGCTGGTGGACCTTGGGTTCTCGGGTCCCAGTTTCACTTGGGGGAGAGGTGATCAAAACCATACTTACAAAGCGAGCAGGCTAGACAGGAGCCTCTGCAACCTCCGCTGGAACACGGTCTTCCCAAATACGATTGTGCTCCACCTACCTCGCCTCCAATCAGACCATAATCCGATCCTCACCACTGTTCAGGGGCAGTTGACTCAACATCAGCAGATCCGCTCTTTCAAGTTTGAAGCGGCCTGGCTAACGGATGAGAGCCTGCCAAGTTTGGTTGCGGAGACTTGGGATTCTCAAGCTTCTATTCAGGATGCCCTTCGCACTCTTGCTGCTAAATTAGGGGAATGGAATGAAGTGGTTTTTGGGGACATTAAGCAGAAGAAAAGAAGGCTGCTAGCTAGGCTCAAGGGAGTTGAAATGAGACTAGCAAGTAGTTTTTCTCCCGGTTTGGCTAAGCTTCACACAAAGTTGGCGGGAGAGTTGGATAAAGTTATGGAGCAGGAGGAACTTCTCTGGTATCAGCGATCTAGAGATAATTGGGTTAAGTATGGAGAAAGAAACACAGCCTATTTTCACTAGCAAGTCAACATCAGGAGGCGTTTTAATAAAATTCAGGCGTTGCTGGATGACAACGGCGATTGGGTTTCTGATCCTGCTTCTCTGGCTCAGCTAGTGTTTGGTTTTATCTCTAACATTTTCTTGCAGGATGATTCTCCTTATGAGGATAGGTTGCCGAGGAATGCTTTTCCTCGTCTGAATCAGGAGGAGATTGCAGCTTTATTCAGGCCTTTCACTATCATGGACATCCACAAGGCGGTGTTCGATATGAAACCTCTTCAGGCTCCTGGTCCAGATGGGTTTCAGGCAGTGTTCTACCAGAGCTTCTGGCAGGTAGTAGGCAGGGACCTGTCCGAGATGGCCATCTCTTTCTTCATGACAGGGGTTTTACCAGAGGCGGTTACGGATTCGACTCTGGTGCTCATCCCGAAAGTTGACTCACCGGAAAGAGTTACCCAGCTCAGACCTATCTCTCTCAACAACGTCTGCCTCAAGAGCATCACGAAGGCGATGACCTCCAGACTAAAGCCCCTGATGAGGAAGTTGGTGTCTCCGAGACAAAACAGCTTCATTCCCGGCAGACAAACGACTGACAACATCATTGTTGTTCAGGAAGTCCTTTACTCTTTCCGCAAGAAAAGAGGGAAGAAAGGGGGGTTAATCTTTAAGATCGATCTTGAGAAAGCGTACGACATGCTCCGTTGGGACTTTCTGCGGGACACTTTGAAAGAGGTTGGGATGTCCAGCAGCTGGATAAACTGCATTATGTACTGTGTGGAGCACAACAGGATGAGAATCAGATGGAATGGAGAGTTGTCTCAACCGATTACTCCAACCCGTGGTGTTCGTCAGGGAGATCCTCTTTCTCCTTATCTTTTTGTTTTGTGTATGGAAAGATTATCGCATAAGATAGATGAGGCGGTCAATAACGGACAGTGGAAGGCTGTAAGGCTAACCAAAAACAGTCCGCCACTAACTCATCTTTTTTTTGCAGATGATCTGTTACTTTTCGCAGAAGCAGAAAGACGACAGATCCGTGTAGTGAAGCAATGTCTTGCAGACTTCTGCTACAGCTCCGGGCAGCGGGTCAACTTCAGCAAGTCCATTCTCTATGTCTCTCCGAATGTTGCCAGACGTAAAGCAGAGCATCTGAGTTCTTGTGCAGGGATCCCTCTGAAGGCAGGGTTGGGGAGATATCTCGGGATCCAAGCAATTCAAGAAAGGATCACCAAAGGGAGATACCAGTCTCTGATACTCCGCATTCAGAAGAAGATGGCTCCCTGGAAGGCGAAGCGACTATCCTTTGCTGCCCGTCTCACCGTGGCGAAATCGGTCACTGCCTCGCTTCCTGTTTATACTATGAACACGGAGCTGATTCCTAGTGGTGTGTGCAGGAGTATTGATAAAATCAGCAGGGATTTCATCTGGGGTGATGAGGAGAATAAGCCTAAATTTCACCTTGTTGCGTGGGAGCGATTGACGGTACTCAAAAGCCAAGGGGGTGTGGGTATCAGGCCAACTCGTCTAGCTAATCTGGCTATGCTCGCGAAAGGTGGCTGGCGGCTCCTTAAAGACAAAGAGAACATTTGGCAGCAGTTGCTCATATCGAAATATGGCGGTCAACGGAAGGGCTTGGATGTTCTCCAGAAAGTAAAGGGAAGTTCTTTCACCTGGCGTAGCTTCACGAAAGCTGCGGATCTCCTCAAGCGAGGGTGTGCTTGGAATATTAAAAACGGGAAAAGAACTAAGTTTTGGATTGATCCGTGGATTTTGCAGGTACCGCTTAAGGAGAGGGCGCTTGGAGACATTCCAGAGGATCTGAAGGAGGCGGCGGTGGCTGATTTTGTGCAAAAAGATGGCACTTGGAGTACCGAGAAGTTCGAGGAGCTCCTTCCCCCGGAAATTTGCAGCAGGATCACGAGCATGGCGGTGGACACCATTTCACCCCACGAGGACTCGATTTTCTGGACGGGGACCTCTGATGGGCGCTTTTCCACAAAGTCTGCCTTTGAGCTTCTCACGAACCAGGCGGAGCAGGTGAGTGATGGAGTGTGGAAGGTTATTTGGCACCTGCCAGTTCCGGAGAGGGTCAGATGCTTTGTTTGGCTGGCCTATCAAGGGAGAATTGCCAGTAATACTCTTCGGTATCAGAGGAAAGCGGCCGACTCTCCTCTCTGTTTGAGGTGTACAGGTTGTCCTGAGACGGCCCTTCACATCCTTCGAGATTGCGCCCCTGCTATGTATTTTTGGGCGAGACAGGTACCTCAACAGCAGCAGAATGAGTTCTTCAGCTGTAATCATGAAGAGTGGTTTAGGAGGAATCTGCTGAGTAAGGAGTCCTCTGTTTCGGGCATAAGTTGGCCAGGCTTTTTCGGGATTGCCAGCTGGTTATTGTGGAAGAACCGCACCACGGCGTCTTTCAAGGGGGTGGGTTCAGCTCTTTCGGCTCCATCGCTTGCTCATTCAATTATTCAAAAGTGCAGGCTGTGGACGGACTCTTGGAATGCGCCAGACTTGCTGTCCAGTCACAGGAACAGAAGGGGAGAGCGCGTGGTGGCGGACATTGGGTGGACTCCTCCTAGCCAGGGGTGGGTGATGGTGAATACAGACGGGGCTTCGAATGGCAACCCTGGGCCGGCCGGCGCGGGGGGTGTGATCAGAGATGCGATGGGGAACTGGCTTGGTGGTTTTGTCGTGAACATCGGAACAGCAACGGCAGCTTTGGCGGAGCTTTGGGCTATTTTTCATGGGTTAGAGCTGGCTTGGAAGCTCGGGTTCCGAGTGGTGAAGCTCGCTTCGGACTCTCAGTTAGCGATTCAGCTTATTCAGGATCGGCAGGATCCCATTCACCCTTATGCTACTCTGTTGGGTCTCGTCCGTAGGAAGCTCAGTCAGGACTGGCTGGTCAACCTGTCTCATACATACCGTGAAGGGAATAGAGTCGCAGACTGGCTCTCGAAGCACAGTCTCGTCTATCCCTATGGGATGCATGAGCTGGTTGACCCGCCTCTGGGAGTGGTTCCTCTTATTAGGGACGATTTGATGGGGGTTACTTTTGAACGCCGGGTTGTGGCGAACTCCCCTTCTTCCATTTCTTGATTCTCCTCCCATGTACCTTGTTGTCTGTTTCTCTGGCTTCGGCCTCCTTGCTATGCAAAAAAAAAAAACTAATTAATTGGATTTAATAGGCCACAGTGTTACTAGCAAGGATCAATTGGTATAAAAAAAAGCTACAAATACGGTATAACGACCAATCGATCGTCATTCCTTCCTAATCGTCGAGATAACCCAATCATTGAGGGTGAGATATTGAAACTTTGTATCGGAGCTCTCTCGACGGAATGGGGAACACACAGATAAAAGAATATATACTTTCATTCTTGTATAGTACTACCACCATGGAATGGCAACTACAAGCTTTAGGCGAGCAAATAACGGCATTAGGCGAGCATATAACTGAAATTGGTGAGATGTATCACTCTCATTCCACACAATTACAAGTGTTAGCTACAAGATCTAAAGGCCATTCACATTATTTCACAAACATGAATGCTCATTCATGGTTACCATCTATCTAGCTTGAGGTATTGATGACAAGTGAAATTAGTATCCATTCCAGATCCTCGTATTGTGTCCCAACGTGTATTAGTCTCATAATATATTGAATTATTTCTATGATTGCTTCAAGTGTGTTATAGAAATACTAGGATTTTTTTTATACGATTGATACGCTTTTAATAACGTTTTGTGAATTTTCAGGGCAAAGTAGTCTAGTGGACCACTTGGAAGTCGTAGGGGACATCGAGATCAAGTTTTTGGAGCTAGGATTCGAAGACCTGACAAGCCTGGGTCAAATGGCGCCAAGATTGTCGTTTTGATGAATGAATTAGGCGCCAACGATGCCATTTTAGGGAGCTCGTCTACTTTGTCAAGAAGTTATCCTGGAGCATCCTGATTCACTGCCACGTGTTTGGAGTGCTCTTATTGGCTGAATGATGGAGGAGTGATTCAGGCTTAATTACACATATTTTCACCACATATTTTTGTGACGTTTGAGGCATTTAGATCAGCCGAAGTTCATTTTTACGAAGGTTTGTGCATGTTTTAGGTTTTAGCAGGTGGAATTGACCTCAGGAGCGAAAGTAGAACGAAAGAGGGTGAAAGTGGATCGAAATGGATAGAAAGGCAAAGATCACGACCAAGGAGAGACTATCACGGGCTGGAGACCGTGAAGATTCGGCCTCGACAGTGAGGATCGACGATTTCCAGGAGCTTTTGCACGCCTCGCGGACAAGTCACTTGTCACGATTAGCAGACCGTGACAATTAGGGATGACAATGGGTCGGGTTGGGGCGGGTTTTGTCAAACCCAAACCCAAACCCATGGGTTTATCCGCCAAAAAAATCCGGGGTAAAACCCACTGGGTTTGAAAAACTCAAACCCAACCCAACCCGCTGGGTATCCGCGGGTTCATGGGTACCCGTGGGTTTTTGTGGTAAAAAATTTACAATAACAAGTTTCTTTCAAAATAAAAGTTTAACATTAATTTTCTCATACAAATTATTCATACAAAAAACAACAATCTAGAGCATACAAGCAAACCGCAAATGATCAATACAAATTGTTCAAAATTAAAGATAAACATATATAAACAATAAGATTAATTGAAAGCTTTTTACTCGTCAACTAAATTTCTACACTCTCCACTTCATAATATCAACTTCATTCTAAACAATTAGAAACAACAAATTATATATGTCTCCACAAACATAAAGAATATTAATTGTTTAAGGAAGATATATTATTTAGAGTATTAAATATACCGGGAAAGTAATTATATATGTGTGGGCGGGTTTACCTAAACACAAACCCAACCCGACCCGGTGAATAGTGTAGCGGGTTTAAACCCGAACCCGTCCCAAAACCCGTCAACACGGGTTTTACCCGCGTTGACCGGGTTGGGTCGGGTGGGTACCCGTGGGTTCGGGTTTTGTTGCCATCCCTAGTGACAATTCCGCCCCGGCCGTGAAGATGCTAAGTGGAATGATGCGTTTTTGACCGAGTTCACAGGAAGGCTTCCAAGATCATGCCGGTGATTTTCGATTGTGACATCTGCATGACTAGGCTCATTCTTGAAAAGGATTTGCCTCAAAGCCGAATTATCATCTAAAAATGGTGCACGATCAAAAATGTTGAAGGTTCCGCTTAATCCATACTCTTCTGGTAGGTCAAGCTTGTACGCATTACTCCTAACCTTCGAAACCACTTGGAAGTGACCTTCACTTCTCGGCAGCAACTTGGATATCCTTTGATGTGCAAAATCTCTCCTTCTTCATGTGCACCCACACCCACTCTCTTGCTTCGATGTGTCGAGGCTTTTATGCTTATAGGCGATCTTCATAATATGTTATATTCTCCTCTCGATGTTCAATCGTGCCTTCTCATGGAGATTCTTTACATACTCGGTCTTCTTTTCTCCATCCATGTTGACTTGCTCCTTCAAATGTAAAGGTTTCAAATTCAATGGTGTAAGAGGATCGAACCCATAGACGAGTTCAAAAGGTGAGTATTTTGTCGTTGAATGCACATCCTTGTTGTAAGAAAACACCACGTGTAGTAGGCAGTCTTCCCCAACCTTGATGTTGCTTTTGATCACTGCTCGCAACATTTGGGATAGAGTACGATTCACCATCTCAGTTTGTCCATTCATTTGAGGATGACAAGTTGTAGAAAACAAGAGCTTCGTTCAAATTTTGCTCCACAACATCTTCCAAAAGTATATCACGAACTTCACATCTCAATCAGACACAATAGTATATGGAATTCCATGCAATCTCGCGACCTGTTTGAAGAACAGATCGGCCACATTAACAGGATCATCGGTTTTATGGCATGGAATGATGTGTTCCATCTTAGAAAATTGATTCATCACCACAAATATTGAATCTTCTCCTCTCCTAGTCCTTGGCAATCCCAGCACAAAATTCATAGATATGTCGACCCATTGTGCCGATGGAATGGGTATTGGTGTATACAATCCAGACGACTGCACCTTCAGTTTATCTTGCTTGCACTCCACACATCTAGCACACAAGCTCTCCACATTGCTTTTCATAGGAAGCTAGTAGAAATGCTCTTGTAAGCAACTAAATGTTTTGGCTACATCAAAGTGTGTCATCAATCCTCCTTCATGAGCTTCTCGCAATAGAAATTCTTGAAGTGAAGTACGAGGTATGCAAAGGTGATTACCACGAAACAAAAAACCCTTTTGTTGATAGTACTTTCCTTCTCCATGCTTCTCACATAGCTTTCATATCTCTAGATAATCATAATCCTCTTCATAGACCCCTTTGATTTGCTCGAATCCAAGCTAGATTGCATCCATAGTCGCGATCAAAGTTTATCTTCTTGACAAGGAATCAAGAACCATATTCTCCTTACCTTGCTTGTAATTGATCACGTAGCGGAATGATTTGATTAACTCCACCCAACGAGCATGCCTCTTGTTCAACTTATGTTGGGCCTTCAAATACTTGAGAGACTGATGATCTGTATGGATAACGAAGTCCTTTGGCCACTAGTAATGTTGCGAGTCTCCAAAGATCGAACTAGTGCATATAGCTCTTTATCATAGGTCAGATAATTAAGTGTAGCTCCACTCAACTTCTCGTTGAAACATGCAATTGGCCTCTTCTCTTTTATGCATCTATAAATCGAAAAATACCTAAACAACTTTACCCTTCTTGCCTTACTTTTCTTTGTTTGCTACTTGAATGAAAACCCATAAAATTCTTTCATATTTTTGTCTGTCGTGGATGGTTAGTGTGAGTAGTTATGCATTAGAACACCTCAAGGAATACGATCCTAGGCATCCTTGTATTTTTTCACTTGTTTTCACGACACCTTCTTCCACCTTCATCTCGTTGAAATCTTCACGCAATTCATTGGAACTTCCTTTATCGGCTTTGGGAGGCTCCACGATGATTTGAACATCTTCTAGCAGTTGCTTTGGTTCTTCATCTTGGATACTAGCACGATGCTCTCAGGGATTTTGCTCGATCCGGAATCTTGATTGGAGAAAGTCGCAAGCTTGTTCCATCTTCTCTATAGTAGGGTAATCTCCATACTTCTCTCTTATTAGCTTTGAATCTTCTAGATCTATTCCTTTACAATCCAATTTAACACGAGCCCTTTGTTGAGAGTAGTGTAGTGGATGGGAATGATGGTGTTTGCTTCAGCCTTTGATTCTCTTTGGCCCATCTTTCCTCCTTCTTTTTGGTATCATATCTTTGGATGGATTGTTATGGTTTTATCGATATGAATCCTGCAAAAAAAAAAAAAAACAAAACAAAACAAAACAAATAACCAACTAGAGCGTAAAATACTAATAGCCATGGGCTGACTTCCATATTTGGAAGCATCCGTGGCGGAAATTCTTTGGACTCTTCCCAAGGGAGCGTCAATCAGTTGTTGCCAACTCTCCGGAGCCTGTTTCCCTTGGTTAACAGAATAAGGTAGCCAAAAGTGATGAGAAATCGAAGCTTGGCTACAATGAAGCACTTACCAAGAACAAAGGTTCGTTCCTTTGCCCTTCTCACAATGTCAGGGAGTTATCCCGTCCACATTCTCCTATTACCAACACAGAGATGCTATCCATAGAAGCATAGGAGGCACCATTATCTAAAGCATATTGAAAAACGACACATATAATTTATGATAGCTACGAAGAGGAGTCCGTTGAAAAATCTCTGGCAACGATGCCAAAAACTTGATGTAATATCGAGTGATAGATATTGATGTAGAAACAAGTGATAAATTCTAGGACGCACTAGGGTCGTATTTCATGAGGTCGTTTGATAGTAACTACTGAAACCTAACCTATTGAGATCGAATTGAGATGCAAGGAAAAGTAAATATGATATGGGTACAGGTGCCCTATTCGCCAATAATGCAAGGAAAAAAACAAAGAAAACAAACAATGCAATGCATACAAGAAGACAAACAATGCAAGCAACAAAAATTAATGTTTAGGTAGTACCTCTAGATGAACATGCATTCATTCTCATTAACAAGATGCTTCAATGCTTATTTTATTAAGATGACATATCCCTTCCACTAAGGCCACTCTCTACCCATGCATGCGCCTCTTGCGGTAGACATTTGACTAGCTAATGTGTGCTTTCATTTCATGCCATCATCCAATCAATGAAGAAAAAGGAAGTTAGGATATCACATGATTAATTTTGGGCTTCTACAAACCATGATCCATGATCTATAGCATTAATGATCTATGATCAAGCATTGTACTAGTCGATGCATGGATGGTTAGCTACTCCTCCATACACGCCTAACATTAATGGGGTAACACTAGATGGTAATTTCTTGACAACCTAGATAATACTAAGCATAATGCATATAGTAGCATACAATATAATCATAAGCATCCATTAAATAAAGTACCTAATAATCATATCATCGAATGACTCGAGTAATAAATGATAGAAGCATAGATTTTTTTTTTTTTGCATTACTGGAGGCCGCAACCAATAAGGAGAGAGCAACAAGAGAGAGAGAGAGAGAGAGAGAGAGAGAGTGAGTGAAAGAGAAATTTTTCTATCCAAGGGCACCACAACCCGACACTCGAAAGAGATCCACTGACTGTCTTCCTGTACAACTCTACTAAGCTCACTAGGGGGTTAACAAGTTCTTGCATACCATAGGGATAGACAAAACTATGCTTTGAGAGCTAGTCTGCGACTCTATTCACTTCCCGATATGTGTGAACAATGTTAACCAACCAATCCTAAGCTAAGAGCCAACAAATCGAAGCCAGCAGCGATGCGTAAGGATGGATAGGGGGTGAGGGGGTCCAGAGTGACAACTTTCATTTGTTGTAGAATTTTCATCGAGAGCCAAGGAGAGAGGCATTCCAAGTCCCATCTACCATCCTCGTCTAGATAGTCAGCAACGGAGTCCGTTAGCATTCCTTCTAGCACCGGTTGCAAGGCGAACTCCACAAGAAGAACCTGCATCAAACATACATCACGCCAAAAATTAGTATCCTTTCCATTTTGAATATACCTCGCACAGCCTTGCTACAACAAGCTAGAAGCTTTGGTAAATATTTCCAAGCAAAAGAGCTTCCCTGAATCGGCCAAAAGAGATCTAACCCAGCCCGTTGTCACCTGTATTTTGCTCGAACGAGTTGCATCCAGAGAGTGTCTTTTTCTTGAAGGAGCCACCAGCCCCCCCCCCCCCCCTTTGGCTAGAAGAGCCAGGTTCGCCTGCCACAAGGGACCTACTCCACCTTGGCTCTTTGGGTTAGTTAGTTCTCCCAAGCCACCAACTACATCTTTTCTTGTTTCTCGTCTTCTCCTCAAATGAAATCCCTATTAATCTTATCAATAGACGTTCTGAAATTCATGGGAATCAACTCAGTCTGCATAGAATAAGTAGGAATGGAAAGAGATACATATCGGGCCATAGTTAGCCGAGCGGATAGGGATAACCGTTTAGATTTCCATGGGAATAGCTTCTTCTAAATTTTTACAATCAAAGGATGGAATCTTCTCTTGGTAATTCTCCCGTGGATAGCTCGCGTTCCTAAATATTGACCGAGGTCTGAAGTTAGAGGAATGAATGCCATGGCACTTAGGCTTTGAGCTCGAAGATGTCTGATATTGCGTGAGACATAGAGAAGGGACTTGTTGAAGTTCACTCACTATTCGGAGCTAGCATATAACTCATCCAACCATTGCCTGATGATCCGAACTTGAGAGCTCTCGGCCTCTGCAAAAAAAAATCACCGACAAAGAAAAGATGAGTTAGCATCGTGTTGCCTAGAAAAATTCTGACAGGCTTCCACAGCTTGTCATAGACAGCCCGGTCAATCCTGTAGGATATTCGTTCCTTACATAAGAAATACAAGATAGGGCAAAAGCGCGTCTCCTTTAAGAACTCCACAGGTGGGATAAATAGGTTGCATGAGCTCTCTGTTCAAAAGAATGCACATAGCGTTCTTCTCGACACATTACATGATACACCTGATCCAAGAGCTCGACAGACCAACTTCCAAGAGAGTGTCCCAAAGAAAGTTCCGCAGTAGCCTGTCATACGCCTTCTCTAAATCAATTTTCACCACCAGACCGCCTCTTTTGTCGCGCCTCTTCCACATAGAGTGAAGGAAGGCCTGGACTATTTGTTGTCTGATGGTCATGAATAAAACTACTCCGACACGGAGAAACCAAGGTATTCATGACTGACTTCAGTCGGCTCATCATCACTTTAGTGATGACTTTGAGACTGGCAATATTAAGAGAGATTGGGCGGAGCTGGCCTAAAACTTCAGGATTCTCAAATTTTGGGATAAGCATGATCGTGGAGGCAAAGACATCACCCGGAAGATTTCCCTCTTCAAAGAAAGAAATTGCCATGTCAGTAAGGGATTTCTCTACTGTCCTCCAAACTTGTTGGTAGAATACAGCTTGGAAACTTTAACATCCATATCCTTTTAACCGAAACTATAAAACGGTTATTCCGAAGCAGAGTAAAAATTTCTTAAAAATCAAAACAAGGAAAACAATACTGAATCATTTCTGATAACTCAAATGTAAATCCCTAAACAGTTGGGAAACTTAAATCCATAAATCATAAAACAAAATCTCTGAATCCCCATTTTATACTCATAATCATAAAATGAAATAACCAAACAATTCTAGCTATGGCTTCTTACGGTGATCCTTCTTGGGACATCTTCACTGATGATGATGTTGCGCACCTCTCACTATCTCCTCTTGAGCTGCTCGCTCTCTAACCATTTCCCTACATGGTGAGTGAGAAAGGGTCACTCTACACAATTACTAAAACCTAAGAGTACTAAAGTTTCTCCCTTAAGTGTTCACCTTACAAACTAGCGGACATTTTTTATACTTTCACCCTTTAACATTAACACTTAAACACGTGGGAGTTATTATAACTCGCCACACTCAAAACTCAAACATTATAATAAACTTAAACATTTGTCTTACATTGCGGAAGTTGTTCTTACTTCCTTCCTTCCTTTAACTTAATTCCTTAAATGACTTGTGGGAGTTGGCATTATTGTCCACCCACAACCTCATAATTAGAGCTCTACATAAACTATGACCATCGTGTTCGTATCTCCATCCGGTGTCATAACCTCTTAGGAAAGGGATCGCGTTTCGATTCGTTGTCCCGTGCCATAACCTCCTAGGAAATGGCCCGAGTTTTGATTCGTTGTCTAGTGCCATGCCTGATCAACTACTGCATATCGTACGGTCATCCAGTAGTAATCCAACCACCAGGGGGTTTCCTTTCCTTACTAACACTAAATCATCACAAACACCTCACATACACATCACCTTCACCTTCATTAGGCAGTGAAGTACCTCAAAAATAAACATCCTATGCCCTCACCTTCATTAGGCGGTGAGGTACCTCAAAATCATGTCCTCGCCTTCAATATGCGATGGGTTACCTCAACATATACATGCATCAATTCTCCTATTTCAAATGTCTAGGAAAATGAATCCTCTAACATGCATCTCGAATAATTATAACTCATAACAAAAAGGATGAACTTATAAAATTTAACTTTAAAACTCGGCGTAGAATTTACCCCCTTTACACTCACCTGATCAAACCAACTGAGTCTGACTTATCACCCTCTCCTTAGCATTTTTTTACAGTCGGGCGTCATGAAGCCCTTGTCGATTCTCTTTAATACCAATACATGAACTCGGGAGCTAACCCTCATTGTTCGTTATGATCTCCGGCACCGGCGGTGGCATTCGCGTTGGAGGGTGATTTGGGTGTGGAGCCGCTAGAGTTTCTTCCCTTTTTGTCGCATCTAGGCCTCTCTCGGTCTACTGGCCTCTCCCTATCTCCCTTTTGTGGCGACTCTCTATGTCTTTCTATCTTGCACCGGTTGCCTCCGTGTAAATTTGTGAGAGTCGAGAGGTATAAAGAATGAAAAAGGGGTCTCGGGGTTTTGGGTTGCCGCTAGAACTAATTGGTATAGAATTTAAATATAATAATAATATCATTTTTATCACACTTAATTCACGATCGCAATTAATTAGTCCTTAGTCATTAACCCGATTTGATTTGATTTGAGGTTTTTCGTACGTAATCATCGATCCAACTGTTCCTTAATTATGCTCGAACCTAAACCCAAGTGTTGAGGTGTTACAGAAACCGTCTGGACTCGGAGCTTGAAGGGGATTCATGTAAAAAAATTCTCTATGAACATCCAGGATAGTAAAGAGTCAGAGCAGGTGATTAAGCTCCGCGTAACTGAACTGGGGAAACACTCCTCTTTGCATCAGATCGCTGGCGTTCCATTCTGCAAATAAAGCTTCGAGTAGAAATAGAAAACCATAACTGCCAACTGATGCTTATCATTAACCCATTCGCCATTCTCATCTTTCAAACTCTCAACTCTGTTGGACCTATGCCTTATCTTTGTAAGCTGGTGAAAATATGAGGTATTCCTTTCACCAAATTTCACCCAGTTCTCACAAGCTCTTTGAAACCACATCATCGCTTCCTGCTCCAAAACCTTGTCCAGCTCCATCGTAAGCTTAGAGTGAACCTTTGCTAGTCCTGGGGAGAATCCCTCAGCGATTCTTATCTACACTCCATCCATTCTAGCAAGAAGTCTCTTTTACGTTGAAAAAATTGCCAAACACCATGGTGTTCTAGTGCTGCAGCTTAGATGTTATCTCCTACAAAGCCACCGGCAAGGAAGCTTGAGAGTTCCATTAATCGGCTAAGAAGTGTTGGAAATTATCATGAGTAAGCTAGGTTGCTTCCAAATTAAAACGCTTAGCATAGGAGTTGAGACTCCCTTAGGAGTTACTAAGGTTAGGATCAGATGATGGTTTGATCCCAAGCGAGCGAGATGAAGAACTGTGGTGTCAGGAAATGCCTCATTCCAACTCAGATTACAGAGGCTTTGATCCCGTCTGCGGTCCTTAAACGTGGAACATTGGGAGCCTCTCGACCAAGTATAGTGCTTCCCAAAGAAACCTATATCATCAAATTTTGCCTGATTCATCTAGTGGCTAAAATGTCTGCATCTACAAAGAGTTGTGGGTGTGGTTGGGCCACTCTTTTCCTCGGGGGAGGAGATAGCGTTGAAATCTCATGTCAAGATCTAGGGGCAGTTGATGCTCTTGCTTTCTTCAATGAGAGTGTGCCAGAGCAAGTTTTGGGGTTGTTGTCAAGGAGAAGCATAAATGACCGTCAAACTCCAAACGCCAAGCTATTTCGGCCAACGATGAGAGTTTAGTGTTGAGGCCCTGCCGAGCGAACTTGAACGTCAAATCGCATCGCATTCTAGGAGAACCAAATTCCTTCGTTGCGCCCCGTGGCTTCAACCCGAGTAACATCAAGAAACCTCAGCTTTTCGTACACCGAGTCTTTGATGGTTCCACTGATCTGCGGTTCCATCATAATTACAAAGTCAAGGCGATGGAGCTGGATCCCAAGTCAAAAAGAGCGAGAAAATGACCTGCTCCCAGCACTACCCACGTTCCAAGAGATGATTTTAAAGCTAGTATAATGTAAACTAGACATAAAAAAAAATAAATGAAGTAGAAAAAAGAAACAGAGGAGAGGACGGGAAAAGGTCACCGGGAGAGTCTAGGTTTCGCCTGTAGAGAGGTCGGCAAACATAACCACTTTATCCCCCTGAGGTGTCATGGCAGAGGCGACCATCACTGAGTTCTCTATCCCTCCACTCGATTTCGCAGCAGTTTTCCATTCCTAAATTTGTTGAAGGGTTAACGAGACTCGTCGCTCTCTACTCTTCACTTTTTCGTCCTTAATTGGAGTTCAAGTTTGAAAGCCTTATTTGGGTTGTGACGGATTGGGGTGCCTCATTTAGGAGTCGTTTGATTCTCCCCTGCTCTTTTCTTTACCCCTTTTTTTCTATTTGGTGCCTTTGTTGGCCGACGAGGTTGACGGGTCAACGTCGGTGGAGGAGGGGTATATGGTTTGACTTCCACTATCCGGATGTGAGTTCCATTTGTTCCTTTGATGCTCTGGTTTAGAACATTAGGAAGGCCGGTTGAAAGAACCCCGATGTGGGCTTGATTTGTTGCGTCCTCTTTTGGCTCACCTAGTTTTGGGCATGCCGTGAAAGATGAAGAGGCCTCTCTAGGTTGAGTTATTATAAAGTGTATTCGAAATCTCTTTCCTTTCTCCTATTTATACTAGTTACATAAGGGGGGTTCTCCTAAAAAACGGCCAAAAGTGTCATGTTCGACTGGAACCCATTTATACTAGTCTCCTATTTATCCCACATGTCTTGCTAAGCATGGAACCTATGATCACTATCTTGAGAGGAAGGCAACCACATATGCAATCTGAATGATGACTATCCCATGTAAAGGTAAAGAAAGGGCTCCTAAACATTTAACCCGTTTATACTAGTCTACAACATTCTTGTAATGGATCCATTTTGTTTGCTTTGAGAAATGTTGAATCGACATGTAAAGGTAAAGAAAGGCCTCGAGCTGAAAGTGACCATAGGATCTTACATACCCAATGGATGGGACTATGTGAGTTTTCCCTTGAGCCATTTTATCTATATAACTAAAAGTCTCGCCATGAACAAGGAGCAAGATAAAGAAGATAGAAATTCAGGTGACATCCACTTCTTAGCCCTCCATCGATTACCTTGTGCGAGCGGGATGAGTGACCTACTATCGTGATTCTCTTTGCCATCGATGGATTTGAAAGAAGCACTTAGTTGGGTCAACCCTTGAGTTAGCACTCTCCTCCTAGCTCAAAGATATAAAAGAAAGAGCGCTTCATTGGAAGCAACCTATGTCTGCCGTCCAACTTCAGGACAAAAAATAGAAAGTGCTACCGGGAGGCAGCCCGGACAATAATTCATGTATCATTTTTAGTTTTAGGTGTACTATACGTTACATACAAACGAACACCTAGATAAAAAATCTATAAGGTTAAATGTTTAGAACTATATCCTGGCAAATTTTTTGTTCGAGAAGGGACATACATAGGCTAAGCATCAGACCAAGAAGTCAAAGACAAAATTTTCCCCACCTTGTTAGAAATGGCGACAAACCTCCATTTTCTATCCTTTAGAGGATTCCTCAGCTTCCAATAATACCTAATTGAGGATCCATCGGGAGTACCCAGGAAAATTTTGTAGTAATCCAGACATACAAATCCTTTAAAAAAAATTCAATCTGCTTCATGAAAGGCCCAAGGTTCTTTCTTTCATTCCGATGGGCTTCAATATAAATATAATGGAGCATGAGGGGAAGACTATCATCTTTGTGGACAAACACTATATCTAGACCCACTCCAAAAATAGCGCATTATTATGCCACCTAGGGCGCCAAAAATACTAGGTATGAGCTCTTAAATTTATTGGTTGATTAATTTATTGGTTGATTTCTAAGCAATGTCTAAAGTGTGGGGTAGTCCTATAGATTTCATGAATATTGATACTACAACCATGTTTTATCTAATAACTAATTGTGCTAGATTAAGATAGGAATAGGAAGAGTGAATAATGCTAATATATGATTGTCCAAATAATGCTAATATATGATTGTCCAAATCATGCATTCTGCCTATGCTTGTGTTGGATAAAATGGATGCTTCATTTTTCCTATATAGATGTGTTTGGATGAGTAGGACTACTCTTGTGCATCATATCAATGTTTTCTGCCTCAATATAACAACTGTAATATCGAGTTTTGCTTGCAACTGTTTAGCTAATTGTTTTATTTAGTTTATTTATTTTTTTCCCTACCAAACGATGTTAGTGACTCACTCGTGTTCTATCTCAATTTATTGATGTTCCAAGTAAATTTGTTCTACCTTCCCCTACTCTATTGTTTGGACCAATGAAGACATTGACCATTGTAAATGTGGGATGGGATTGAGTTTTATTCATGCATTTGGGTGGACATATATGTGTGTGCTATGTGCAAAGTTAAAAAAAAAATCAATAGTGCCACACTCCCCTTAGAATTTCAAAGCCCATCTTACTTTGCATTGCTTGTCTCTACGTTGATACATGATTTAAGGAGGCTAGTATGGTGGCTATAGAAGATGTCCTCATCACAAGACTAAAGAACAACTTATATGTTTGAATATTTTGTCTATCAATATCCTGCGTGAATTCTTAAACTCTTCCAATGGGTATATTTGCTTTGAAGAGTTTTCATTGGGTTGAACTATATCTTCATACAAGAAAATGGTATTTGACAAGTGGAATAAAGAAAGCTTCATTTACAAATAAAGTGTGGGTAAAAAGTATGAAAATGTGTGACACAACCACTCATTGCATAGGGAAATAGGAAAGAGTTAACTGAGTATCGGGTGCGATGTTTCTTATCCAGTACATTCCTCCATCGAGTGATACGTCGTTTGAGAATTGTGCTTAGAGGGCACAGATAAAGCTTCTCACACCCTTCTATAGCATTGACCCTCCACACATATAGGCGATAAGGAGATAAATGAAGGCCTTATACGATTGCTAAGATGCATAAATTGCTCTTGCTTGATCATGAAAGTAAGAAACAAAAACCCCACTTGCGCTACAAAAATTCGCCTACAAATCAATAAAGAGGAAATAAAACTATGTTTTTCAAACAAAGGTATAAATGTGCTTAAAATTCAAAACAAAGCTTGCGAAAAGGTTTACCACGAACATTTTTAGACTCTCGAGTTAAGTTAAGTGCTTATGATGGATGGGGATTGGCCAGATTGTCCTTACGGTAAATGTACTCACTGATGTAGCCTGGTTGTATAAGTGTGAGGGTTGACCTCGTAAGCTACTAATTATGATCCACTATCTACTATAAAAATATACATGTCAACACAGAGGTCTAGTTAGTTATATTATTTTGAGTTTGGTTTGCTTGGATACAAGCAAAGTTCAAGTGTGGTGTTATGTGATTAAACATAACTATTTTAGACCTCTAATTATGGCATTTTTACATGGTTTTCATATATTTGTTACCATAATGACTTGGATTTGCTTTTTATTTGCTCAAAGGTGTATTTCATAGCCTCTATGAGTGTTTTACACTTTTGATGCCTTTTGTGTAATCTTTAGATATTTTCAAGCCTAAGAATCGTAGAGGCTCATCATGGCAGGAAAACGGACAAGATTACAAGCATATTGGATAAAAAAAGGATTGATTCGGAGGTTGTACGAGGGAGAAAAGGGTTGAACAAGTAGAGCAGTGCGGAATCAGCGACCTAGGGCCAATTACCCCAAATCTACACGGAAGCCACAAATTATGAAGACGAGCCCAAGGATCAAATTATGAAGCCTAAAAGCTCATAATTAAAACCCAAGGTGTTAAGTGTCATTAGTAGGCTCTAGAACACGAACTAGATCTAGAAAACTCTGATGAAATCCTACTTTCGGGAGCTATATATACATCCTAACAAGCTCCATATTGGACAGAGTTCAATAGTAGGTTGTGCTATCTTGAAGAAAAAAAAACTTAGAGGAGAAAAACAACATAAAAAATGGTGTCGTGGCTGCTATTTGGGAGGTTTATGCCGCCAATTTCGATGATGGAATTAAGATCTCTCCATTGTAACCTCTGTAATCCCCCTGTGGATATTAATAGTTAATCCTTCGTTTGTATAGTTTTCTAAAACCTAGAGGGTCCTTAAAATATGTATTATTTGACTATTGTTATATGAGTATTGTGCTTGTTTTATTGTTTCGGTTGATTTCTTGTCAATTCAATTACATGCCTAACCAGAACTATCCTCTCACATGATATAGCTCAGAATCTGAATTGGTGTTGGATGTGCATGATCGTCCTTCATAATCGATCTTCAATGGATTGAACTACGTGAAATCTTGTGAAACAGAAGTTAAGCCTTATATACTTTTACGTTGTATGCAATACACGTTTTATTGTTGTCCTCCTTATTATGTATATTTCTTTTGGTTTTCTATATATGGGTGGGTGTGACAGAAGTTAAGCCTTATATACTTTTACGTTGTGTGCAATACACGTTTGTGAAGCAGCCTTATTGCATAACATGGCATATGCAATCTGAATGCTGACTAACCCAAATGGCTCGCTAAGCGTGGAACCCACTATTACTATCATTAGGGGAAGGCGACCACATGAGAGCACAATGAGTGGAGATATCCACTCTTTACTTCTCTTGACCACATATGTTTATGAAAAATATCAAACAAAGAGAGTCTAAGGAAACTGTAGTGGAACTTGCCTATTCAACTCATCTCCTTATGTCTTGCTCTCGTCTACTAGTTAGTTGTTTTCTTATCCTTTTAGTTTCTTTCATCAAAACCAAGGGGAGCCTCAACCCCAGAGGCACCTCAACATTCACATTATGTTTTCACATTCAAGAACAAGTCCCTTATTGACTAAGTAAGTGGACACGAGAGGACCAAAGGGAATTACGATCCTAGTTACCAACCATGTAAATTTGACTATGTTCTACAACGGATCATAGTTTCGTCTGTAGTATGGGGTTATCATTTCTTAGATCGGTTTACTAATCTATATTTTATAGTACTACTCATGATGTAAGAAGTATTCACGAAGTTAGAGCCTTCTTAGAGCGACTCTCCTATAGGGTGTAATGTGGGACTCCCCTCTAGTATATGTGGGTACTGATGAATATAGGGAAGTTTCAAGATGGATTTGTTGTAGACTTAACCAAGAGTTTGTATTCATCAACCAATGGTTGAATATCTTTACTTATAAAAATATAATATGCATGTAAATGATTAAAAATTGTTGATGGAGCAAGGATTGTTTGATTGACGAATCAAGTTGTATTTAATCAGACTCTCATAAACTTATATTAAGATAACACTTAAGAGATAACTATTTTTTTTAGGAATGTGCAACAACAACCTAAACAACTTCGAAAAACCAAAACTCATCCGGTCAAGGATTTTATAATAAACTAGTTATAGACTTGTAGCTATGATTGTCGGAGTTTATTTTGACTTCAACGATATATTTGTCACAAAATATTAAAAACCAGGTCCAGATTGTCGTGGTACATGAAATAAAATACCTTTTTCCTTCAACTAATAAAATCACCTCTATCAAGTTGATAATACGACACTTTCGTTATTTTGGATAAATTTTAACTAGCTGCTACCTTATCTCACCTTTTTTTTTTTGTGAGAAACAGA